TATATATAATGCATTCAGTTAGCAGCGAGAGAAACACATTGAATGTTTAAATCTTCAATTTTGAACACATTTGTCAGGGTGTAAGTGCAAAGTGACAGCTTCAATAACGAATGTGAAGACATCTGGTGTTGTTCACATCTTCACATCGTCAACAAATGCGCTGAATGAGTCTAGTTATTTACTGTTGAGGGATACAGTTGAATCCTGTTATAACGAGAAGGAGGGGACCGGTGCAAAATGACCGATATAGCAGGATTCTCGTTGTAAAGGATCCAGTAATAAATTCTAGGGAAACTGTAAAGTAGGCCGAATCTATGAGTTTGATGTTCTGTTTATTTCCTTTTACTTTCTCCCCTGATGATGATTTGTTTCAACATGACCTCTAGGTCTTACTCGATCAAAAATCGAATCAGGTTTCATTCTCTAGCGCTAGCGATGTTGACTGACAGCTCGGTGTTGGCGATCAGAAAGAAAGGTCTCTGGGCTAACTCGTTCGCTGTCTTTTCCCCAACCCCACAACACCCTGTGGTGCATTCTGTCTGCTTGCGCACGTCACACATTCGCTCCATCCATCACATTGAAGGAGAAGTGAGAGGCATGGTAGGCCTTGATAATCTAAACTAGGTTTACGTTGACCTATCACGCGATGTGTTCTGCTTGTCTGCGCATGCCACACCCTCCCTACTCATTCGATCCGGCCTTCATTGTGGGCTCTCCCATTCTTTGTATCACTAGATCACCAACAGGTTTTTCAACTGGCGAGGTTTTTCATTATGTATAATTGGCCTATGCACTGTGAACAGCAGCAGCAATATTCCGCTATAACCGACGTGCATGTTTGTCTGATAGCGCTATAGCAGTATTTTATTTACAAAGGTAAAAAAGAGAAAAAAACCCGGGGTTTTCGAATAGTGTCTTTATAACAGACTTCCCGTTTTTTCCGGACTTGTTATTAGTGGACTCCACTGTATTATTCCACTCTTGGATCAAGGCTTGTTTTAACCAAGCAAGAGTCCGGGGCTGACGTGGTCTGGCACAAATAGCACAATCTAAAATGTCCCGCAAGTCCTCAATTGGATTGAAATTTGGTGAAAATGGTCATGGGTGAAGGAGAGGAATGTTGTTAGCTCTTAGAAATTGATTTGTCACAACAGCTTTAGGAGCAGGTGCATTATCATTTATGTAAACATGTCTTTGATTTCGAAAGAAAGGTACAGCACTGGGGCCGAGAACTTAGTAATGTAGCCTTGAGCTG